ACCAGTAAGAGGTCTGAACCATTAAGAGCTAGTATATTGCTTAACTATTCAGAGGCAAATGTCTGATCAATTCAGATAAGAGGTCTTAATCATTCAGACTCTGTATAATACTTAACCATTCAGAGGCAAATCTCTTAACCATTCAGACATCTGAACCATTAAGAGGCTGAAACAAACAGTCTGAACCATTAAGTGCTGAGCCATTCAGACATCTGAACCATTAAGAGGTTCAAACAAACAGCCCCTAACTATAAATTAAATAATACGTAGTACTAGGCATTAAAAATTAAATTGAAATTAAGTTGAGACAAGTTTCAAAATTTACCGGAAGAACGTGGACAAGCTGGAAGGAATGGAATCTATCCTTCAATTGTTTTGCTTGCTCGTACAGAGTTGAGATATTTTCATTTTTAACCTTCCAAAGACCCTGGATCTAGTTTTACAAGGACTAAGTTTCACACAGTAAATCTATATTGACAGTGGAAGAGATATTTCATGCATGAGAAATTAAACTACCTGCATACACACAAGCTTAGAGTCACCTTGTGCGCGAATTCGTGTAAATCCTTTGCTCAGTGCACACCTTAAACCCAAAATTATGGCTCGATATTCAGCTACGTTATTTGTTGCCACTCCCAGACCTTCACGAAGCTTAATTGTCTGTATACAGGAGAGAAGTAATGTTTAGAATTTGATGGAAGAAAAAAATGCTAAAGAGACAGATGTGTCTATAAATAGAATACCAAGCTGCCATCATCAGCTCGCAGCACAGCTCCTGCCCCTGCTTGTCCAGGATTTCCTTTTGAAGCACCATCGAATTCAAGACTACAAGACTCCTGAAATGAATGCCACCAAATATGCATTTTCATTTGCAGCATATCATAATAGCAACATTCATTGAGTTATAAAATTGTTGTTGTTATTATGATGATAATATTTTTAGGTATGATTATTACGGAGTACAAAAGCATATTTTATCTAAATAACTAGACTAAGGGCCTCTTCCACATCTTGACTCTTTCAGTTTAAATGGAGACTTACTTGCAGTCCAGATGCATTAGTAATTTTAACTAAAATCTAGAATCTGGAGACTAGGGCCAAGAGTCTAGAGACTGGAATCTTGAGTCCCAAAGTTGAGTCACTAGTCTGAGACTCTGAGGAGAACACTCTAACAAAAGAGTCTTAATTAAAAAATTAAAAATCCTTCCGTCCTATGGATAAAAAGGAGGCATGTTCTTATCAAGGTACAACTTTTGAATTTCGATAAGTTACAATTATTGTAAATATTAACCATACATACATTTTCTTTAATTTAATAATTTTTTTAAACTAAATTTAACTTATACGGAGTACTTTATGGGGAGTATAATTTTTATGAAACAATTTATGGGAAAGGATACATTAAGTTTAACATATGCTTCAAATAGGCCTCTTAATTTGGGGGACAAAATTTGTGAAATATGACTTTTTGGGGGGGGGGGGGGGGGGTT